CTTGGTGATCCCAGTAAATAAGTAGCAGAGATGATTATTTCATTTTTGTTTGTTCTAAAGGATTGTGGACATACCCAGTTGGATATGTTCTGGCTGACAATACAAGTTCTATAAATTTAACCTGTCTTATTCAATAGCACCATAAGAACATGGCATCACTTCTGCCAACTCTGAATCCTTGTGCCACTTAGGTTGATAATTACTAATAGTCAGGACCTGAAAGGTGTATATTCATACACATCTACGAGTAAGTTTTTACTTTATGCATGATGCATGCCATGTGTTGAAATGTGCATGAATTCTCATGCTGAGGACAGGCTGGCTTTGCTAGCGTGTGTTCGCAGTACGATGACTTTACAAAAACGTTTGGTAATAGCAAATTTTCATTTACATTATATTGCAGCGAGAAGAGAATAAATCAATTTTTCATTAAATGTAACTGTAATAAAGTTACGATACCCTGCAAACGGTACTTTACCACTCAGAAGAAATCAGGACACAAAAAGGTAGAGAATTTTGTTTGGGACTTTACTTCTGAGTGGTACTTTACCACTCAGAAGAAATCAGGACACCAAAAGGTAGAGAATTTTGTTTGGGACTTTACTTCTGAGTGGTACTTTACCACTCAGAAGAAATCAGGACACAAAAAGGTAGAGAATTTTGTTTGGGAAACTTGAAATGTGATGTAAAGCACATACATGTACCCGGTTCTGTTATGATTAAAATAGTTTTAGCAAACTTTTATTTTTTCGCACATAGTTATTTTTATTGATTTATATCAAACCATTTAGTTAGGTAAAGAAATCATTTTGATTTGTTTGCAAAAAAAAATCACGATTAATATGGTTGATTTAAACAAAACAACTCAAGATATTTAAAGCCATTTTCATCGGAGCAACGTCATGTACTCTGCTAGTATAAAATCAATAGAAAACTGTTCTTAAGAGGGAGTGTGACTTTTTACTTGTTTTTCATGAAAACATAGAACATTTTAACTATGTTAAGTTTGACGATTTTATTAAGATAATCTAAAACTGGAAGTTGTATGAAGATTTTCCCACTTTCAACGTGCATCAAGCTTACTGAACGCTCTCTTAACAGAGAAGCTGTTTCTTAACACTTTTTAACAGGAAGTTCCTTGTACACTAACGTCGCTCATAGATAGACCGGTTTTACGAAACATCTTGCAACACTCTTCAAGCATTAACTTGATGCATCAATAGAAATACAACAAAGCGGTAGCTGTGGCGTACTAGTGTAAAAAAAAAAATCACAGTAGATGATCAACTGTCAACAGCTGCATAGTATTGTACGTCGTTCTTAAATTAACACATGGTTAGAGAGTACGTCGTTCTTACAGAGATCACCCAGTTTTTCAAACAAAGATCGCATCGGTATTGGCCTGTCTAAATCTGATGTGAATAATAACCTTTCAAAGTTTTAGACAGTTCAAACCTAGCGAAGTTTTAAACAGGCCAAATCTGTCGTGTCTGGGCTCTCATACCTTATCTAACTTCTGTACAGTTTTTTATGTATTTTTAGTTTCAGAAACACATTAAACCAATTAAACCCTAAATCCTTAATGTCTAGCGTTGACTTTGTATCACTTTATGTCGAAATTCCCGTTCAAGAAGTTTGTAATATTACCTTTGACCTCTACCGTAATGACCCAAATATTTTAATTTATATCTTTCAATAAACATTTTATTCCCCTCTTATAATTCACTATAACAAAAACTTTCTTCAAACAGAGGGTTTAAGCACGGGCAACCCTGTTTTACCTGTTCTCGCCAAATATTTATGACCCAGATCAAACACAAGACATACAATCTGCGCTTTATCGTCCCCTACACTGGTACAGAAATGTCGACGACAGTTTTTGTTGGTTTCACTTCTATCGAACACATACACACTTTTTTTTGAACAGACAACTGTCTTTTCTTAACCTCCACATTATTTGATTCGACTCACAATTCAAAACCAAATCTCGTCGAAAAATCACTCACACAGGCTCTACATCCCCTGGAATCCTGCCCATAAACGCAAACAAAAAAATTGGTATACCAAAAAAACTTATAGACACAGCTTCAAGACTTTGCTCAGCTGACTACATAGATTAAGAAATCAACTTTATAAAGCATTTTGTCATTCACACCAACAAATTTCCACACAACCACCAGAACAAAAACCTAAAAAGTTACCTTTACTAAGCTTTCAGACAAACTCTGGTTATGTGACCTCTTTGTTCCATACTGTATATATATATATATATTCCTGTGTCCATGTAAACTACTTGTACCTGATGATAACATAAGTAATTAGCCTCCAGTTGTACAGCGGAATATCGATACCCGTGGTGGGCAGAGCACAGATAACCCTTTGTGTAGCTTTGTACTTAACTTCAAACAAATATATAAAAATTAAGCATGTACTTTATAATAAAGTTTTTTTCACTACCCAATCAAGTCGTCTTCACCCTTTGTTATTCATTACATTATTTTCTAAAAGATTTAAGACTAGTAAAAACTTACAAACTTCTACAATATATTAAGACTAGTAAAAAAGCGCATGCACTATATAGTTTTGTAACAGAAAAAAAAAGTAATGAAATAAATACACTACTTACTTTTAGATTAAGTGTAGTAAAGAAGTAATAAATAAGCAACTTCTCATATCAAAATCGGCTCTTCCTCCTGTGTAGTCTAGTGCAGTCGCTCGAAAGTGACATTAAACAGAAATATGCAGTATTGAACTAATACGGTATGGACTTCTTGCACATACTAGTGTAGTCGCTCTAAACTGATATTAAACAGCTGTGTACAGTATTGAACTATGCCCCTTGTCATAATCAGCTGTTCTTTCTGTTTTAAGTGGACCGAATTTGATGTGAGCAGTAACCTAGCGATGTTTTGAACAGATAAATTTGATGTGAAAAATAACCTGTATGGGACAATCCTGTTTGTGTGGTTTAGGAATGTCATAAAGTTTTGGTGTGCTTGAGCCAGTTTTCCATAGATAAAAATAAAGATCTTCTGTAATCAAGTTGTCTTTCTTCATTTGTGACAGGGTTTTATTCAATTGATTTTCATGTGTGTTTGTTGGGTTGTTTGGGATGGGTTTATTATTATTATTTTTTATCTGAATGGATATCATTCATTTTGTCGACATATTCTGCGTTGTTCGTGATTACAGTAGTGTTACCTTTGTAGACTTTTAGAATTTTAATGTTAGTGTCTTTTTTTCAAACTTTATTTTCTAAAAAGTGTGATCCTTGTCATCGACAGTAATGCATGTATTTCTTTACTTGACTTAACTTGTAAGAAAACTGTGTATTATACTACTTATTTACTAATTTTAATGTGGTAGATAACTATGTAGTGTACGTACTTTTTAATTATTTGTAATACTCTAGACTGTGTTGTGAATATACTTCCTTACTAGTCTTAATCTTTTAGAGAACTGTGTAGTGTATGTTCTTTCTTACTAGTCTTAATCTTTTAGAGAACTGTGTAGTGTATGTTCTTTCTTACTAGTCTTAATCTTTTAGAGAACTATGTAGTGTATGTACTTCCTTACTAGTCTTAATCTTTTAGAGAACTGTGTAATGTATGTACTTCTTTACCAGATTTAATCTGTTACTGAACTATTTAGTGTGCCTACTTTTTACAAGTCATGATATGTTTGAAAACTATTTAGTGTATATATTTCGTTACTAGTACTAATTTCTTAGCGAACTGTGTAGTGTATATAGTTTTTATTTGTCTTAATCTTAATGAAACTATATAATGATGTATTCTTTACTCTTAATCTCTTGGAAAACTATACAGTGCATGTACTATTTTTACTAGTTTAACAGTAAATCTTAAAGCTCACCTACACCCTTAAGTACGGAGAGCGTTTTTGCAGTGTCATAACGCGAGCCGTGAATCCTCGATCTCTGGTTCGCTGTCCCAGCATGCTCACAACTAAGCACGGCCAACCCTACTTTTCAGTATCTTATATATTTTTGTGATTGATTTTTTAAAATTATGATATTATTTCAACTGTACGTGTAGAACAGGCTTTTTTTTAAAAGCAGTGCTTATTCTCTGTTGATTTTTAGTTTCCTGAAAAATGGAGGTCTTTAATGTTTATCTTACAAAAAGCGGAAAAAGTTTTAGAGTCCCTGACTTAGACTTCTTGGCTGTGAACCAAGCTTGTAACTTTTTACAGAAATCAGAAAACTTAATGGATTTAGTGGAGTGAAATCGATGTATTTTGTCAAACCATCATAATATTTCATACTAAACTTGAAATCAAAATGATTTAAAATTCAAAAAAATAAAATAAATTTGTCAAATAGTAAAATGCTGAAGAACAGTGACGTATACAGGGGAGTAGCTAGATGGGCTCAAGCCCCTGCCTTCTTGCTCTTACGGAAAATACACCTGATTTTACACCTTGCTTTTTGCAAGTTATTGAAAAAAAAAGGATTTAAAATGAATAGCATACATGTATTTGTAGGTCTTTATAGTAAATATATATAATTTTGGTATGCTATTAAGTGTTAATAAGCAATAATTCACTGTTTAGTTTTAGATCATAAAAATGTTTATAAGACCAACTGAATAGAAATAAAAGAGGATATGTTTGCTTCTATGATTTTTACCCTCTGAGTCCCATAGTCTCCTCCAACATGCCCTCCCCTCTAAAGCTTGCCTTACGATGCTAGAAAAATACCTTTTTTGCCAATGAGCGCCTAAATTTCAATGTCCTCTGCACATTACTGCTGAAGAATGTCTTGAATTTTATGTTAATTTTACCTTTAAAAAGTTAGAAATAGAGTAAATTTAGTATCCTACTAACTGATGAAGTGGTTTCTGACTTCAAATTAGTGTGATAGATGCTGATAAATGAAGCGCTGTTTGACTTCAACTTGCAGTGATAAAAATGTTGATAGCTAAAACTGTTTGACCTGTGTTGTTTATGAAGTCGTATAACCATTTTTTTTCGTATTTCAGATCCCAGAATCAATACTGATCAGGCTTAAAGATGTGAAGAATAGTACTGAATTTATTACTCGGTTTCTCATCAGTATCCCTCTTCAAGGTTAGTGTTTTACTCGAGACAAGACTAGCAGTTATGCATGGTGTTATGTTCCACCACAAATGTTAAAATAGTTTGATCTTAAGCTCGGTTTCAATATTTTGTTTTACACGCGAAGATTACTGCTGTAAACTATATTTTTGTGTACTGTGAGTTCTATAACATTGATTACACATTTAATATTCACAGCGTAAAGTTTAAATATGCGAGTCATTTAAGATAGTCATATATGTCATAATTATTCCAAAATATCTCGGTAAGAATGTAGTTGACTTAGTGGAAACGATTATTAAACACAACAGTTCACCTAATTCATAAATCTACACGTTATTAGAAAAACCCTTTATTATAAACATTTTGTATGAAATTTAAAACATTTATATAGTAAGCATTTTGTGTGAAACGTAAAACACCCATGTTGTAAACATTTTGTGTGAAACGTAAAACACCCATGTTGTAAACATTTTGTGTGAAACGTAAAACGCCTATGTTTTAAACATTTTGTGTGAAACGTAAAATACCTATGTTGTAAACATTTTGTGTAAAACTTAAAACACCTATGTAGTAAGCATTTTGTGTGAAACTTAAAATGTGTATTGTAAACATTTTGTGTGAAACTTAAAATGTGTATTGTAAAACTTTTTTCTTATACTTTACAGGGAGGCTAGGCACCATTTTCTCAGCAAGTAAGTTATATGCACATATTTTATCTCGATTGTTTCTTTATTTAACGTTCTTCGGTTGAAAATTAAAAATTGTATCTGGAGGGATATACATTATGATTTATTGTACATACTTCACTCCGGTGAAAGTTTTCATGAATAACATTCGCTAACATAGAAGAATTAAGTTTTTCTTGTATACCGTTCAAGGTGTAGAGATTGAACGATTTATTGTATAACATATACCATGAATTCGGGCCCGAGAATATCGGATAGGTGATTTAGTCACCGCCTAGGGTTCCCCAATATCCAGAGTCCCCAAATTGCCTCATATTTTTAAAAGTGAAACTTTAGTATACAGAAAATATTACTGTTAAGAACTGAAACTTTAATTCTTAATAATAATATTTTCTGTATACTATACAGTTTTAATATTTGTTATTTCGTTTAATTTAATGACAGATATTATTTTCAAGCTGAAATATGTGTCATTACATCTGTTCATACCAATACAAGTATGAATACGCATGCATTGCATTCACAAGTTGAAATTTTCTGCCTCTGACCGTTTCGCTTCAAGAAGAAATATTGACAAAACATCACTTGTGCTATAATGATGCTGTTTCTATTAAGCACAAAGCTACCCAAAAGGCTATCTGTGCTCTGCCCACCAAGGGTATCGAAACCCGGTTTCTAGCGGCATAAGTTCGCAGACATACTGCTGTGCCACTGGAGGGCGGTGTGCTATAAACTGATTTGTTTTTATTATTCGTACTTATTTAATCTAATGTAAATGTAATTGGTATGAATAAACATGTAGCAACGGAATCAAAATTCTTCTAGTATGTTTTGTTCAAATATCACACAGGGCTTTGGCCTAAACGTAATGTAAATCTTGCATGTATATATATATATATATATATATATATTTGGTAGAAAAAATAATTCTGTTTTCAAGAGGAGAGGAGATAACCCCATCAACACCACTGAGGGTCCTCTAAATCTACTATCGCCTAACTACCAGTCCGGTACTATCCCCCCCCCCCGACTAGAATAAAGGGGATAAAGTTGTTGTTATAACTCATTTTCTGTTCATTTTACCAACAATAAATTTTCTTTTATTGGTTGCTATTAAAATCAACTCCTCTAGAAACAGTTTACGCAGTTAATTCCTTGAAATTGCCGTAGGGAGCAATTTTGGAGTGGGCAAGCCATTGTCATTTCTAGGGGGGGGGGATGTCTGGGAGCATGTCTCCCAAGATTTTTGTCTCCGAGATACAGCTTATGATGTAAACATTTATAATAAATATCTCTTATAAATAACTTCCTGACGGACGCATTTTTCAGACGAATTGGCACCTTCTGCTGGCTGTGAGCCAGAATCTCAGATAGTAGAGCTTCCCAAACCAGTTGATCCGCTGATAGTGATATGGCCTACTTGTACGAGAATAAAAAAATGTGGCGGTTGCTGTCCGAGTACTCTACTTGAGTGTGTACCAAAGAAAACCAGTAAGCTTTCTCTGAAGGTATGTGTCTTCTTAGTTCTTTATGCAACTTAAAAAGGTCTCGTCTTAGTGTAAGCTTGTTTCAACTACTTTCACTGGCTAGTTTGAAAGTATATCTACGTAATCCAGGCTTTTCCAGCTGCTTTCTCTGGCTAACTAAAGAGTGCCTCTCAGTACAGACTTGACTGTCCAACTTTTACGGGTTCCTAAAGAGTTTATCTAACACATGCTTGAATCACTTGCTTTCACTGGGTCCGTGAACAGTGTATATTCTTAATGTAGGCTTGTTTGTCCTGCTTTGTCATGGATGGTGAACAGTGTATCTTCTTAGTGTAGGCCTGTTTGTCCTGCCTTCTCTGGGTCTGTGAACAGTGTATCTTCTTAATGTATGCATGTTTGTCCTGCCTTCTCTGGGTCTGTGAACAGTGTATCTTCTTAATACCGCCTTTTTCATCTGCTTTCTCTGGCTACCTGAATATATATTTTTAATACTGACTTGTTTCATCTGCTTTCTCTAGTTACCTGAACAGTTTATCTTCTTAATGCAGTTTTGTTTTCTTACATTCTCTGATGAACAGTTTAATTTCATAGTGCCGGCTTGTTTCACACCTTGTTTTTGGATACCTGAAGAATACATATTGTTAACGCTGGCTTGTTTCACTTTCTTTCTCTGGCTACCAAAAGGTTTGCATTTTATCAGATGCTGTTATTGTCTTGTATACAGTTGCTTATGCACTCTTTTAGGTTCTTAAAGCCAAGTATTCCAAAGCAGGTGATGAAACATTCCAATTTCAAAGTTTCGAAGTTTTGAAACTCGACGTTCACGAGAAATGTTCGTGTGAATGTAAGGAGAAGCCTTCTGATTGCACAAGTCAACAGACGTATAGAGCTGACGAATGTCGTTGTATGTGCACGAACCACGAGTCATCCGAGAGCTGTGGAGAGAACCAGATATGGGACTCTAAGGACTGCGGCTGTAAATGTAAAAACTACTTGAACTGTTCCACAGGGTTTTATTTTAACCCTCGATCTTGCAGGTAAGAAAAGTTAGTAATTAATGTACTCTGAATTATTAAAATAAGGCAACAAACCACGAGTTTAAAGGAAACATCCAATTTTTGTGAGAAACATTCGAACTAAAATACATAAGTACTGAAGTTAAGTTTTTAAGGTAAAGAACAACGTGATTGCAGAGTATTAAGAACAAGAATGTATTAGAATCCCACTAAGAAACCATAGTACGACTAAAGTACAAATATGAGTTTACAAGAATGCAGTACGAAGTAACGACAAAATTCATGTGAAACGTAATTTTCTGAGATATTTTTAAATTGTTTTGTATTGTAGGCACAGTTCCTGTCAGTCTTCTCCTTTTGGAGATGTTCTCTAAAAAATGATTTCAACTTATTATTTAAGGTGGTTATTAAATAATTCAGTTGTGTTGATGATCACTGAAACTTAGGTTTTATATGCACACGACTTTGTGTTCTTTCGTAATAAATACATCCTTTAAAAATGTCCACTAACACAATCTACAACAAGGTTCTCACTATTTCAAAACCGTCTAAGTCATTAGATAACAACATTTACCAATCAACAATTACCGATTCGAGTATTCTGGTCTAATCCTAGAATCACAGAACTTAGTGTACTGAATTTCCTTGTCTCCTCCTAGAATCAAAAAACTTAGTGTACTGAGTTTCCTTACTAAGTTCTGTGATTCTACAGGCAGACAAGGAAACTCAGTACACTAAGTTCTGTGATTCTACAGGCAGACACAAGCAGACAAGGAAACTCAGTACAGAATCACAGAACTTAGTGTACTGAGTTTCCTTGTCTGCTTGTGGAATCACAGAACTTAGTGTACTGAGTTTCCTTGTCTGCTTATAGAATCACTGAACTATAGTACTGAATTTCACTGTCTGCTTGTGTCCTCGTCTTCTGTTATATTGTATATGTCCTTTTGTGTTAGCAGAAGCATTATTACAAAACTACTTCACCAAGTTTTTAAGTGTTTTTTGGATAAAGTAATTTTACCACCTTTTTGCATATTTTGCTGAATGTCACAATATGAAACAGTATACGATTTTGTTTTTGTTTTCTTTTTTGACAGATGTGACGCCCTTGTCCTTTCTCGAATTGGTGTCCCTCCCTAAAAATCTATAATATCTGTATTAAAATTTATATTGTAGAATTTATAAATTCTGTATAACTCTGTTTGATAAACATTTTATTGGAAATGAGATAGTCTGTTTCAATTTTATTAAGCTCTTTTTAACAATATTATTTCGGGATAAAGAATGAAAGTAAATCACTATATCCTGTTTTACTTCAACAAGCTGATCAAAATATTATCATAGTCTAAAGAATAAAGCATTATATTCTAGTATACTTTGTTGAACTGCACAATGTGTTCAATACTACTTACTATAACAACTTAAACATTAAAACATGCCAAGATCTCTAGTTTATTTCAACAAGCTTGTTCAACAATATTGCCACAGCGTAAAGAATAAAATACACACACACACATATATAACCCATCTTATTTGAGCATAAACTGTGAAATATATGAAGATAGTTCGTTCATAAGTCAATAAGTTGTTCAACAGGCTCATCACAGCTTAAACATTAAAATATATCGAGACAGTCTGTTTTATTTTAAACGCGATTTTCAATCCCCGTCTAAAGAATAAAATACACACACACATATATAACCCATCTTATTTGAGCATAAACTGTGAAATATATGAAGATAGTTCGTTCATAAGTCAATAAGTTGTTCAACAGGTTCATCACAGCTTAAACATTAAAATATATCGAGACAGTCTGTTTTATTTTAAACATTAAAATATATCGAGATACTCTGTTTTATTTTAAAAAAATATTCAACAATACTATAACAACCTAAAGACCAGAATACTGTTAAAATAAACTCTTTCAACAACATTATCACATCCTAAAGAATAAATTTTGCTGAGATGATTTGTTTCACTTCAATTTTATTCCAACTTAAATGGTAAAAGGTATCTAGATATTTTGTTTTACTTCAACAAACTGTTCTTATTGTTATCACGGTTTGAAGAATCAAATATATTGAGATACTCTTACCCCATGAACATTTCAACAACACTATAACAATTTATAGACATAAAGCTTGCTAATATACGATTGTTTTTGTAAACGCAATGTATCAACAATGTTGTTAGAATAAAATATTGGAAACAGAACATAATATTTGAACAAACTGTTTAACGATATTATCACAGCTTTAATAGTAAAATATACCGAGATACTCTGTTTTAATTTAACCAAGCTTTTCAATAACAACAGCTTTTCAGCAGCGACATTTAATCCCCAGGGGACGGTTTAATGTGAACTAATTGTTTGGTAAGATGTCACCATGAAAAAAGGTAAATACTGTAGTTTCAAATTGTCCAGTTATGTACATTGTAATTTGAAGAAGGTTGTGTGCTACTTTTTGCATAAAAGTGTTTCAAAACACTGTTAGTCGCTTATATTTTTTATTAAAGAAGAATCATTGTCTTTTTCACGAAAAATCCACAAACCTACCAAATATCTCAATGCTGGAATTGAAATATTCTCTTGGTATTAATGAAAGTCGCATGTACATTGTTGTTGTTTTTCAATAATACTTCCAGGTTATTCTATTTTCAGAATAAAAGTCTATTTACCACGAATTAAATTCAGAAAACGTTGGACTCCTTTATTTATCATATACATTGTATATCTTCCTTGAAGATTAATATAAAATTCATTGATTCCTCATTGCCCAACTAGATTGTTGTAGTAATTTTATCAAAACAAGAGACAACAATTTGCGTCACAATATTTCCTGTATGCCTATGAAAGTAAAAGGTTACAATGCACTTTCAGTCATTGATTTTTCAATCACTTTCTCATCCTAACTATGGATAATCAAGTACAAAATATAGTCAACACATTTTGCTGAACTTTACTACCCAATAGCTCAGAAAGCAAGGGATGGCACTTTCTTTCAACCAGCCATGGGGAGTTATACTTCCCATCCAAACATGAACAGATTTTACAAATGGCCTGTCAATTGATCCTATTTCCATTACTCTGTATGATATCATTACCTATGGCAAATGTTTGTCCCAGTTGGTTCCATCAGGTATCATAAACATCAAAACACCATTATTGTAGAACAGGCATTTCTTCCATCATAGTACTTTGAGTGTAAGCTCAATCAGCCTATCAGGCATAGCTGAGACATCACACAGTTATCCAGCTCAAATTACCAGTATCCAGATACCAGATCCAAGGCGTTAAGCCATTGGGAACTTTCTAGCATGTTCAGACATTTATTTATTTGTTGTAATGGGAGAGTGTCAATGTAAATTACTGCATTTATCCATCAAAAGTCCACTCAAAACCTTGTCATATCTTCCTTGTTTCTGACAATTACCACTGTAGATGACCAAGAACTTTCCAAAGGTAGAATGATACTCTCTAGCAGTAACTCTGTATTTCAGTACTTGTGACCTAGATCTTCCTAATGCTCCAAGGAAGTCAATGTGGTAGTTTTTTATTGGACGTGTATTACCCGTGCCTATATGGTGCCAATTCATTACTTTTTGACCCATCTTTATCCACAAATATGTTGGCATATTCACCTAACTAGTCCCTGAGTTACTTTCACTGCATCAGGTCTAGATTGTCAGGTATTTTGTTAGCCATGTATTTCATTTTGGTCATGGAGTGACAGACGTGGCCCACCATCATTGGTTACCTCCATTTACTTACTGTACTTATGACTATGAGCTGGATAGACAATCATCCTTAATTACAAAGCAAGACCAAAACTTCATCCCTTGTCAGATGGATTACTGCCTGAGATACTGCTGCCTGCTTTTTGAACAGGAAACAGTTTATCTCTTTTGTAGCTTCTGTAACCACATTATACAGTACTGACACATTAAATCATGTCTGGTTAAAACGAAAAACACAACTCGTGTACATGGAGGTAGTATTATTCCCTTTTCCACATACGCTGATGCAGTCCACTGTTCTTAGGCTTGATATAAGTTGCACTGGATGACTTTCCCATGCAACATCAGCTTACTCATTGCACAGGCAAAAATGATCCACAAACTCGGCAGTACAACCGTCCAAGGATGACTATTCCATACTCAATATAGGAAATTACCATTTTCATTATGTGAACAATACCTCCCAGACTGAGCTGGAGATTTATCTCTCTTCTAACATCTAATCTATCACTGTTTGCCAGAACAAAATCTATATTTACTGGCCAAAGCGGTGTCTTTAATTGGAGGACTTGGACGATTGTGAGTTCCATTAGGGTTGTCACGGTTCCTGTGTTCTCCAGGAACTCATTTCTCACTTTTATATCCTTATTAGCACATACCAGCTCCCACCCAGCCCAGACACAGGGCTGGGCTGACAATTAAACTCCTTAGTGCAGGCCAACTGCTGTGTTACCAACATCAGTGGCCATACCCAGCTTTGGATCCATTAGTTTCCAAATCACTTGTCACAGCATTAACCTGACAATCAGCAATAATACAATAATACCCTTCCTCACTTTGCTGATCAGCAAATTACTGACAATGTGAGTTGGCAGGAATTTATTCAGCAATAGGACGGAGCTGAATGTTCTGCCTTTCTTGTGGTACCACACAGTATGTGTAGTTCTTCTGCCAGTGCCCCACACATCCATAGGTAAGGCAGACGCTTCGTTCTTTCCATTTTGAACTAGGTCCAGACAGAGGCATTTGCTATGGCTGTGATAGATGTCTTGTGGGTGTATGTTAGAGCAATGTGTACCTCGTGTGACAACCTGCATAGCCCTGCCCACTCAGTGGAAGCCAGTATTGTCCAGTAGAGATGATTGGATTGGGTTTAATCTATTGCACTGTTTTCCAGTGGAGTTGCCACTGAAACTGCTGCTACAGGCTTTCTCATTTGCAATAGCCGACTTAAAGTTTCCATTTCAGAGTGGAAATGAGTTGTTCCTCATACCTAGATGTTGTCCACTTGATCTGCAAAGACCATTGCTGGGTATGTCTTCCTATGTAGATTCTCCACATAGGCAGTTAGTCTCTCAGACTTTACACTTGGCCAAATAAATGTGCCTATTTTCTGCTGGGTCAAGTTAGCAGCATAGCTTGTGTATGCAGTTCCCAGTCATCAGATGTTTTTCATCAAGGTGCTCAACTATATTGTGGGCTAGACCATCTAAGTTCAGGACCAGGCACTGTACAATCTGCTCCAGAATTCATCCTATCTTGACAGTGACCCACCTTAAATGCTCAGGAAATGGTCCAGGTCTTCTTTTGCAGTTTAAAGGACATAGGCGTGACTTACTTGGACTCACTAACAGGGCCCTGCATTACAGATCAAACCTCTCCTTTTTGTGATGATCGTTATGGGTGCCAAGAGGAGGCATTGCTCCTGGTAGAGGCTATTAATGGTGACTCTGACACCCAACGGACAGCTGATCCCTGGTCAGTGATTACAGGGTGACGAGCTGCTCATGGTGGCTTGCCTTAAGGCCCTGCACGACCCCAGTTGTCAATTTCTTGGAAATTAGGTTATGGTCTTCACTTGAGTGTACCTGCTGGGGAGACAACTGTAAGTGGTGGAAATACTCTGCCAACATGTCCAGTATCTGTACACTAGCCACTGATGGTTTCAGTCAGAGCCAGGGATGTCTGGTGATGTACAAGGAATTTGATAGAGGTCTCCTTATGTACCCTTGCATTTTCCTGATGCTCAACCATTCCAACAGTAGCATTAATCTATCCATTCTTCCTTGTCACAAAGATCGATTCTCAGGGCACTACCTCTTTATGAGGTTTGAGTACACCAAATTTGGCCAGATCTCCTCGATGTCAATGGTATTCCTAACATCTGCAAAAGTCCTATGCCCAGGAGGGGACTCACACTTGACTCAAACGTCTGTTATACAGTCACCTCTCTACAGCAATGGCCTTTGCAGATCGAGTGGACAGCACCAGGGATGAGTTACATTTTCACTCCCACTCTGAAATGGAAACTTTAATTCAGTATTCCAAAGGAGAAACCCTGCACAAGCAGTTTCAGTGGCAACTCTATTGGAGAACACTGGTTTCCACTGAGTGGGCAGCACTGTGTATATTTTCCCGTGGGATACACATTGCTCCAATATTTATCTACAAGATACCTACCACAGCCATGGCAGATACCTCTGTCTGGACATAGTTCAAAATAGGAAGAATGGTGTGTGTGTCTGTCTTAACTATAGATGTGTGGGACTCCAAATAAGCTAAACCATCTGTCATGCAATCATCTCTCTCCACTAATGGACTCTCAGTTGTGCATATTTCTACATTATGAGAAAGTCATTCTCTTGGTGGAGGCACTTCCTTAAATTTGATGTACACGAGAGGTTGAGTTTAGATTCATTATTGTTACCTGTACTGGACTTTGCATTATTTTTAACAACAATCTGTGGGGCAACCCAGAAGGGGTATGTGTCAAGACTATGTACAAATGTGGTTGACACTAAACAAATTTCCCCTCCCATGTTCAAAGGAAGACCTGAATTGCTTCTTTCATATAAGGAATAAGCAATGTCATCGAGCCCCTATTGGAGAAGCAATTGGCCAACTAGGACTCAATCATGGTTGACTAACACTGCCAGTTTGATAAAGTGGAAAAGTTAGCTGTTTACCAGGCCAACTTTAAGGTTCACAGATTAGGTGCCACAAAGAATGTGGGTGATTTTTGCCAATGATCTGTACCAGCTGCTGCAATGACAGCTGTGGATCACAAAGACACTTTTTGTTGAAAAGTTCATTGGAGGACTTCTAAATGAGACAATGAAACATCACTTAGGCATGTGAGGCATCTGTACCTTGCCAGAAGCAGTGAAATTGAAGGTAGTCATCTCAGACAAATCGTTGGCAGAAAAAAGGAAATTGATAGTAGCAGATTTAATTAATGGCTTCTCAAAGTATGAGTTGCCAAGCCCAAGGTGATGTTTAACGTTGATCTCAGAATCCACATAAAATGGAGCCACAAACAGCAATGCTAGGTACAAGAATATAAACTAGCTGATGTCCAGCCACTAGGCAGGGCCATCCAGGTCCACTCATGATATTTGCTCCACCACAGCAAGGGAAGCCAATGCTTCTTCTAAACACCATTTTGAGTGGGTGACCCAATTAGTTACTACAGTAGGGGATGCAGAGTGGCACATAGAATAGACAAATACCTCTGTTATGACTAACTGCTTGACAAGTGCAGAAGAATTAGTAGTGAATAATCACTGTTCTGAATGAAACTCCAGAAAATTAAGTCATATCTGGCCACTGACTTGGGAGTGCTCAACAGCCCATTTGTGGCAAAGGAAGTGGTGGTAAGCTCACCTCTTTCTGGGCTGGGTGGTGCTTAATATGTGTTTGCACTTATTCGTGGTAAAGTAACATAGTTCCTGGTGGACAAAAGAACTTCAAGCACTCCAAGTAAAGCCACCACTTCAGCCAGTAGACATGCATGGTAAACTCAATGAAGGCACGTTTCTGACTATGTCTTAACTCTGTGAACAATAGGACAAAAATTGTTGTTGCAGACTTGATATCTAGGATTGGCATACTGGGGAGGGATGTTCTGTATTGTATTGTTTTGTTTGTTGTTAAGGGAAAAAATATACAATTGGCTATAGGTACGCTGCCTAATGCAGGTAACAAAACGAGATTTTGTGCTATAAGCCTTCAAACTTACCATGAAGAAGGATACTGATATGTATTTTCATTATTAAAGGGAATATTTATGTTTTCGTACATGTTTTGTTATATTACCTCCTCTCAAAGGACGTTCTCTGGTAAAATATTTAGTGATTTAATGTGTATTTTATTTTATTTACAAGTATTGTATGTTAGACCACCCAGTCTTAAAGTAGTGGATGGAGAATTGTAGCATGGTTTACTTTGTATTGTATGGTGTTATTATTGTTTTATTTTAAGTATTGCAGGACAGGTGTTTTATGTAGAAGAGTGGGCTATTTCAATTTTTTTTTAGTTTTTCTTGAGAAGAGTTTATTTCTGGCTTCTTTTTTTACAGTTCTATGGTTTAGGGACAGCCAGGTGGGCCTGGAGAGACAGGTGAGGGGAATCTATAGTATGGGGATATACTATATATTTGATACCTCTTCTGTAAAAAAGTAAAGAAATTTAAATATATTGCTTTTCATAATTCTCAGTTCAAAATCAGTGAGACACTCAAGTAAGTAACTAACTTTAATTTCTCTAAGAGACAAGCAAAGTTATGTGTGTAAATAGCAGATTGTTTCGTTATTTTACAGGAGTGCTGTAGCAGTTAACTAAAGGATTAAGCTATTGTTGTTGGCAAATCAGACAACAGCTGCAGGTGGTCATGCCCTTTGTCTACAGTTCCCGCTAGCTACTTGAGCTAACAAGCATCAGTCATAGGACTGAGTATGCTAAACGTTTCAGGGTATTTTTCATATATATGAAGTTAAGTTCATGTTTAGAACTAGAGAGCACTGAAATTGTGTAAATAAGATTTCGTGTAACTTAAGATTTGTACCTTTTCTTTCTCATTTAATGTTAAGTGCTCATAAAGCTCTTGCATTCATGACTTAGCTGAATTTATTCTGGGAGCATTTAAGTGATTATTTAAGGGATTTAGGTTCAGTTGCAAAATGAAGTATTTATTTTAAATTGCAGTTATTATTTGCTTGATGAGGGCAGAGTTACCACATTTTATAAATTAGTTTTATCCAATCCTATAGTAAAGTGTTCCTCAACCCCAAGAAGTACATTTTTTTAATACGTAAAATAATTTTCTTCAACTTTTCTTTTAACTAGAAATGACATTTATAAATAACAGAACTCATTTTAAACCTTTTGCTTTTTTATGACATTTTATCTTACCTGGTAAAACCACATTTATTTAACATTAATGTGGCCATTATACCCCACCTTCCCCTACTTTGCTTTTCTTTCAAGGAAGAGTTCAAAACTATTGCCACAGGCTAAAGAAATAATTTTTCTGAGATACTATTTTGTATTTCAACAACATTATCACCACCTAATGAATGAAATATAATAATATAGTTTGTTTTACTTCAATTGTGCAGCTATATTATAGCAGCCTAAAAATAAATATTCTAAGATATTGTATTTTAGTTTATCAAGCTGTTCAGTAATATCACTGTATAAAGAGTAGAATATGAAATGATAATCTGTTTTATTTCAACACTTTATTTTTCTATATTCTTGTGCTATACTATGTATCTGCTTCCAAATTGTTATTTGTAGACAAATTTAAAATCTTCATATATGCAGGTGTATGCAGTTTAACATAAACAGTCGGTCAAGGAAGTAGCTAAGTACCTTTTGCTCTAGTTACTAATTAATCTTGGTCATTCTACAAAGATATCACATGTACTTTCTCATGGGAAAGTGTTCTGTGAAGTTGTATATACTATGTAAAAGTAGACAGCAGTCTTTTCAATCAACAAGCCAGGGGACATCTTGAAAATATAAACTCATTTATTTTTCATTGGGAATAACAAACATTAATTTTGTTAATGCACACTCACCCTGAGAAGAATTTCATTATTGTTTTGTATATATAATGCTATGTTTTCTTAGCCTGAAGAAAGTTATTGATAGACTTTTTCACATATATACAGAATGCTTTCTTTGTTATTCTTCATGAAAAAACTTTTATAGTTTTATGAGTTGAATAAAGATTGTTTCATTTTGTTACATATTACATCTAGTATCTTTCATTTTTCAAACTCAATTAGAGTCAGAGGATTCAGATTTGCTTGTGATACTGTTTCTTCAAACCTCATGTTATTCTATGGAACCTACCGATCACTTTTAGGGTTAGTCAGTTCACCAAAGGATACAACATTATCAATAAAATCGTATGCCGACCTAACAACTACATTAGAAGCTCATCTCACTCCTAAACTGCTGTCATAGCTGAACGATTTCACTGCTGTAATCAACTCCACGGGGAGAATTTATTAGCATTTAGCGCTGAAGTGGGAAAATTTTCAAAAGATTGTGAGTTTGGTGACTTTTTAAACGAAGTATTAAGAGATAGAATTGTGTGTGTGGTCTCTCATAACAAACTATTTAAAGGAAATTGTTGTTTGAGATGGATTTGACTTACATGCATCCTTTAGAAATAGCTGTTCCAATGGAAATCGCTGAGCACGATGCAAAGAAGTTGAGGCAACAAGGCGCTACGGGCGATTCGCATAGAGTGTGGCAAAAGAAGCGATAGTACTCCAAGAAGAATCAGCAGAAGTCACAAAACATCGACTCGGAAGAAACAAAACAGTGAACGATTCTATGAAACAAAGGTGTAAATCAAAATAATATGGGAAATCGTGTCCACACTGCACAAAACGAGGACATGATCCTTCGAAATGTTATTAAAAGAACAGTAAGCTGTGTATGAGTATAAAGTTAACCCAAACTGCATGGGGCTACAAAGTATGTATTCCAAGACGATTGATACTGAGGAACCATACGATGATTCGTTTGGTTTCTATTGGATTAATGTGTCAAAATCGGTGTCTATACCATAACTAGTAACTGTGCCAATTAAAGTCTAAAATCGTTAGATTCAGTTTGAAGTGGGTACAGGTGCGTCAATGACGATTATTTCTGAAGATATCTACCACCAACAATTGGCAAACATCACAGTTCTTCATACATATACATGAGAAATACTTCTGCTGTAGGCCAAGCTGATGTGAACAAATTATAATGAACAATGTATCACGGCACCAATCATGATTGCCAAGGTGCAAAATCAGCCAGCAGTTTTAGGGTGTGATTCATTACAACTCATCAAACTGAACTGGAACACATTGTTCAAGGTAACAAACATTTTTTGTGAATTTTTGATGAACAAATATAAGTGTCTATTCAGTGGTGGTCTAGGGAGAATTAAAGGGCACACAGCAAAAATATTCATGAAATCTAATGCAATACTAAAGTTTCACAAGCTTCGCTCACTACCGTACCCACAGAAGTCACATGCTGAAGAAGAGTTATTCCATCTGAAGAAATTGGTGGTCATAAGTAAAGTTATGCATTCAGAATGGGCTGCTCCAATCGTTGTCGTACTGAAATCGGACAAAATTATTGGTTTTTGTGATGATTACAAAGTGACCATCAACCAGTGCTTATATAGGGATAAATACCTACTACCTACAATTAGTCATTGATGAAGATACCGACAAGTACATAACTATCAACACCTACAGGGGCTTTATCAGTATAATAGATTACTGTTTGGTGTCACCAGTGCCCCAGCAGTTTTCCAGAATAAGATCGAGCAGATACTCTAGGGTCTCTAAGGCATCTTATGTTACCTTGAACTGGTAACATGATGATATTTTGGTTATGGGATCAACACGAGATTGGATTTAATTCCACCCAGTTTGGCTAAATACGTCGATAAGAAACAGCAAAATTGAAGAGGACGAGTATGCACTTTTGTACCTGGTCAAATAATTCTGGTGAGTAACTACTGAGCTCATCAACAGAAGTGGAGCCCTGCGATTTTTGTTCAATGGTTAGGGCCATTAGGTTATGTGGTGTGTGTAGAAGAAAATACCAGACATATTCATGTGGATCAAATTTTCCCACATAATGGAGAAAGCTGTACTCCAGAATCACATGAATCTACAAGTGATCCTGTGATCACCCAGACTCTGCTTATTACACCAGTCTGATGTAAATACACCTGCATTACCATCCTCTGTTAAACCAGAAGTTGTTTCACTGCAAACTTATTCACTGATGTCTTAACCTACTACTCAGATGGTTTCTGATACACGAACCGAACTGCCCCTGCAGTAACTCCAGATAGACGATATCCATTACGACAGAGAAATCTTCCTGATCAGTATCAAAACCAATAATGAAGAATATAAATCTTGATTAACATTTCATATTTTTTAAAAGAAGAGGAAAGATGTAATATTTGTTAATTAGGAATTATTTATTCTAATGTATGACTCTAACTGTAAATCTGTTCTGTTTTATATAAATACCTGATATTCTAATAAACATTTTCTTATACTGCAGCTGAGTAGAGTCGAGTACACAATAATCACCACTAAACCAAGATTTCTTTCTTCAGTTATGCTATTAAGTTGGCTCATACATCATATCAAAAATGAGTGGTCTAAGTTATTGTTTTAATGTTGTTAATTCTTTCATTTTGGGAGCAGGAGAGGTCTTATATACTATCTGCTGAAAATAAATCAAAGCCCAGTCCACGTAAACTATAATGAATGAGTTATTTCCTTTAATGTTTCTATAAAATAGAACAGTCGTATACTGACTGCTGTCAATTGTCTGTGGATTCTCTCTCCTGCTAAGCCTATGATCAGTTGTAGCATATTGCATTCTTATTATTGTGAGATCTATTTTACATTATGTAATTTGTATTATATTCAGTTTTATCTTATTTGACTTTCAACAAATATCAGATTTCAAGTTGAACTAAGTTTTATTTTGATTTTATTCATTTTTTCTCTCTGATTGATTTTTTGCTTTATTTTATTCCAAATTTTATCATTCTTAGTTCACTTATTTTGCAACTGAAGTTAATTCGTGCCGATGGTTGGATTTTCACATCAACATTCAGTCCCTTTTGACAAAGTTCTCAGGTATCTATCCATTTTGCAACCTATTCCTGATAATGTCAATGCCACTCTTTGACTGTGTCCACAGACAGGTGCTCAGAGATAATATATCCAAATTCACTAATGATAAGTTTTGTTTCATTCCTCTTAATAACTCCATGACCATTTGGTACAAAAAATCACCCTGAATCACTTCATGAAATCTCTCTTTCTCCCATTACTTGATTCCATACAGTCCCATTCAATTTTTTTTGTTAATACTTAAACATCCTCAATACAGCTAAAAAAAATAATCAAAAGCTTAACATAATCAGCAAAAATTTATTAATTTATAATTTCTGCCCCTATCAGTATCATTAATGTAAATAAGAAAATGCAAAAGCCCAAGCATTGACCCCAGAGACACTCCACTAGTAACAAGAGTTCAGTTTCACTGAACTATATTAATAAAAAAAACACTTACTTTTCCCATCAAATTGCCTTATAATACATTTATATAATCTTTTCATGCCCTTTCTCGTGTGACTTTTTTGCATGGTAACTTTTCAAAAATTTTGGAAAGTCTAAGCACACTAAGTCCTCAGGCACCTTTCCACTAACTATTGCCCTACCAAAAATGAAAGGTTCGCATACCTGATCTTTGGGTTTCTTGAAAATCTCAATGAAAACCATGTCTGATCCTGGTGACCTATATATGTATGTCTGTCTGTTTGTCCGTTATCTAACAACTTCTAGGTCGCTGAGCCAATTTGAACCAAACTTTGTAGGATGATAGTTTTGGAACAATGGGCATGTTAATCCATCCTCCAATATTGTTGTTAGTGAGTATTTATCATATTTGACTTAAGTTAACGATAACTACATTCACAAATGGCGCCACGTCCTTACATCAAAAAACTTTATTAAATTTTCCATAACACAACATGCACACAGTGATGGGGAGGATACACAAACGTCTTATATATTTCAGAGAGTGTGCTAGCACTGTCTATGGAGGAATGTAATGAAAGAGAATGGCCACCACTATTGTAATAATACATAAACTCACCTGAAGTTTCTACTCCAACAGCCACAATAAGGCTAATATGAAGAGCCATTTCTTGAGTTATACCTACTTCCTACTTTGACCAGTAAGACACTTCTGTGGTTAGTAACCATCAATTAATTAATCACATGAACCACTGTGGAAAGACTTGAAGCTAGGCATTGAACGCAGGTAACAGAAAGAACACTTACCACTACTACTTTTGCCACTACCTCTTCCTTCAAAGTCATCCTGACCATCGCACAATCAAATCTGCAAACTATTTTACATGAAATTACACAGTTTCAAGCTCATTCAGAGTTTTTAGAAAGTTAGTTTTCAAACTTTACAACAGCTGCCAAATGCTTGTAGGTAGTCGAGTTTTGATGACTGAAAGCAGTCTGCAGCACTAGTGCTCAGTGAGAAGAGTTTCAGGAAGACGAAGTTAGTAAGAATAATTTCAATCTTTATCAAATTATTAGGGAAAAAGTTGCTTGAACTCTTATTTTGGCGTCAGATTGCCCAGTACAAGTTCTTATTCTCATGAGTGCCTTTATGACTATTCCAAACCATTTCCTATCAGAAGCAGGAGTAGAAGATGCGTGAAAAATAATTACAACTTCTCGTGCCCACCATCTTGCTTTCCCTATCTTCTGTAATCGAAGCAGACTCTCACTACCAACAGCACCTGATTTGTTCAGTGTTTTCTTCCATACAGTCATCCATTTATAATAGTCCGAACAGCAAGTTTCTAACCTTTCAAGTAACCCAAACAGGCTTGCAGCAGTCGTAGTAACACTAGCAGTCTGGGCCAAAGCCAAGTTAAGAGCATGACTAAAGTAATGAGTGAAGATTGAATTGGGACCCTCATCCTTCATTAGTTTCTGACGATTATGTTTGTTTTGTTCCACTCATGTTTAGTGCACTGTCATAAGCATGGCTACATTTCTTTTAAGCAACAACATCAGTTATTTTAATTCTTCCTTTATTAACTTGTACAGGTTTGAGACTTTGAAGCACTAGTAACAAGCCAAAGCCTTCACTCTTACAAGCAGTACTGATGAGCCAG